AACGAGAAAATGGATCAACAGCAGGAATTGAAGCGATAATACACCAACAAAAAAATTATAAAATAAAAATACTTGGCATTTGAATAATCATTTTGTTTATAGGCACGTGATTTTACAACATTTCTAGATTTTTTTTTATTTTTTATTTTTAAATTGTTGAAGAATTAGATTACTTATATAAAACTGCTCTTGATATTAACCTACTTTTTGCATTTACTTGTGACACTGAAGCTAATAGCATAGAGTAGGATATTAATGGACCAGTTGCTACTATCCTTCATAAGTATAATCTTTTGTTGTTTCTTTTCCTTCTTGAAATGAAGATTTTAGTGTACACACCTATGTCTTTAATAATGAACAATTATTAATGTTTCAATTGCATGGCCTTTATTTGCAGATTATGGTAAGGTAAACTTCATTTTTCATTGAGCTTGACTTCTTATTGTCATCAAAACTACCATTTTAACATCTCATCAAAAACCCGAAGCAACCAGAGAATGATAAGTGTTATTTGTTTCTTATGGTATGTTCAACGCTGTATAAAAAAGAACGATGAGTACTAAAGGAAACCTGGCGTCTGTGCTATTCATGGGACATAGACGTGTATGCATCCATGAGAAGCTCGCTCTGCTTCTCCAAATGCCTGCACCAATCATTATTCAAAACTCACATCAAATTTACCATATACTGCGTATAATTATACGAAATATTCACAATTTTACATACAGACAAAACAAGCGAGAAATAGAAAATTTACTTGACCATATCTCCCGTGTATTTAGGATCCATTAAGAACCATCCTAGATCAATTGATCTTAACAGCAAAAAAAAAAAAAAATAAATAAATAAAAAAAAAATAAATAAATATATATATATATATCTTCTGTTTTAGAGTTTAGATAGAATTATAGTTGAAAAACGAAAGGGACGCTAAATAGGCAACGGAAGGAGGTGGGACAAATGGGCTGAGAGACATGTTGAGGTTACGGGCATTTATTGTCAGGATCCAGAAAAAGATAAATCGACCCAAATTTTAGTCCAGCCAACCCAACTAGAAAAATGGGCTTGAACATGTGAATTTTTTATGCGAAAAAAATATAAGAAACAATACATAATTCTTACATATAAGAATTACATTTTAAAATTAATAAATTTGTCAAATTATTTCAAAATTCAAGTGTTAATTGTTAAAAATATACATAATATATAGTTAATTGAAATTAATTATCTATTTCAGGGGGATGGACAGAGAGAGAGAGCGCGCACTTCTACGAGCTCCGTTGACATCTGTTTGATTTTTTTTTATTTTTATTTTTTTTAATTAGACAAAAATTTTGCGTATCCTTATCCATAAACTTCTGGAAGGAGAAGCACAATGTGAATAAGTAAAATTAGAAGTCAAAAGTTGTTGGTTGGAATTAAAATCAATTTTTTATTACATTATGATAAAATATATGATTAAAAAATTGTGAAATTTATAAAATATTTGATTAAAATTGATTAAATTAAAATATGAATTTTAATCTACCAAATAGGGATTATATTTGACACATGTTTTGATTACGAGTGATTTCACGTTAATATTTTTTTTAATAAATGGATGACATTTTAATTATATTAAGAATCATTAATCTTTATGTATTATTGCACTTATATTCTTGACCTCTTTTTTTTTTTTCATCATATTCTTATGTTTAATATTTATTGACAAAAAATCTTACCCTTAATCATTTGTTTTATCCAAAAATATTGTTAACGTACTTTAATAAAAGTCAAATATTTAGTTTGTATTTTTACATTATTATATTTTTTTCTTATTTAAAAATATAATGGGCAAATTCTATCTGAAAGAAAAATTTGGAGAGAAACAATAATCATGAGCAATTTATGTTTATTTGAGAATAAGAATACGAGGGAAAAAAAGTTTGAAACATAAATGTAATAATGTGTGAAGGTTATAAACCTTTGTGCAATTAAAATATAGTGTGATTGTTAAAAATTATGGTGTGAATATATTTAGTAATTAACTGTTTCGATGTTCTTACTATTTATTTATCTTCATACTTATGATCTAATTTTTTTAATTTAGCGTGAATCAGGCCATGTCACTGGTCATTTTTGGCCCGTGACATGAGTCGGCCAGTGTGGCTCGTCGAGCCACAATGGGCCGGCTCGGGCTCGAGTCAACGCCTCAAAATGGGGCTTGCCCCGAGCCTAGACTCGCTTCATTAGAGCCCCAAGCCAGACTGATTTGAGCTTTTCTCGAGCCAAGCCATCGTGCGGGTTTGACATTTTTCATTCCTTTTTCACCATAATAATTAAGGGTCTGTTTGATTGCGAAGATGAAATTTGGATGGAAAGAAAATGAATTTCAGGGAATTGAATTAGCTAAAAATTATTTGATTGGTATAATTTTTCACATGAAAAATGTTGAAGTAAAAATGTTTTTTAGTGTTCGTTTGATTTTGTTTTATATGGAAATTGTCAATTTAAGAGATATCCACTTCTACCATTGTTCCTAGAATTTTTTCCATTGCCAACCAAAAAAAAAAGGAAAAAAATGATCAAAAAATCATCTATATTTTAGTGTTCGTTTGACTTTATTTTACATGAAAATTGTCAATTTCAGGAATATCCTCTTTTTACAATTGTTTATAGAATTTGTTCTCATTGCCAACAATTAAAAAAAAATAAAAAGAAAAAGGTGGAAATTCAAAAACCACCTACCCCAGGAAAATAAAAGGTAGAAAATCACGTTTTAAGATGTTGTACCTAGAAATTCATGGAAAATCAATTCCCTCAAAATCTTGGTTATTCAAACATGTCAAAAGTGAAAGTTTAAATTCGAATTTAATTCCAAGTTACATGGGAAATTTTGTCCAATCAAACGGGCTAACCTCTAAACGAGAGAGGATATTCCAACATTAGATTTCAGTATATTGCATTTCTTTAGGATTCTCGCCTATAAGACCCTAATCTCACCCAATACACAAAAAAATTTCAATGGCGTTAACTAGAAGCGTCGATCGTCAATTGAAATTGAAGGAACATGATTCAATTTGGAAAAATAATAAAAGGAAACGATTTTCAAGCCAACAAAAATCTTGGCCACGAATGGGAAACAATGTTGGCTTCGGGTCTGTTAGGAATTCAAATTCAAAGAAGGTAATACGCTATACATAGACTATATGTGTTTAATCCCGTTACGTTTTTCATCTAGGGCATTGTTTAATTTGTAAGTTGATTAGGCACTGTTTAACATGTCCTTTGACATTGGTGGTTGCTTCAATTTGTTCTTAATTATTCGTTAATCCCTTAACTTTTTGAATTGCGCTATATTCTATATGGGTTTTCCTCTACTTGGCATCAATTCACATTGAACTACGTGAATATGTGTAATACTTCTCTTCTATGCATTATTTCTGATCCTTCTGTAATAGGGCTGCTTGTTGGGATGTTGCTTTATTCTAATTTTTCGATTTTCTTGCGTTCAAGTTGCAATCGTACTTGTATTGTTTTTCGAAGAAACATTGTGGCTTCTTCTTCAATTCTATATATTTAGGTTTTAATTATTTTATCGATTCTCTAGTTATTTGATTTAATATTTGTTCTTTCCGAAATTAGTCTAAAGATCCATTTTTTATTTGTTTTTATGTCTTTTCAACTTTTCATTGCTTGGTTGGCAATATATCATCTCCTCAGCCAACTGGTTTTTGAGGAAAATAACCATTTGTTCTACCACCTACTTCATCAGGAACTTGGTACATAACCAGATCAAAGAACGAGGGATAGTTTTAAAGATACAAGAATTTCATACTATATTAAATGTAATGAATCTCTTTTCAGCCTTAGTTGATACACTATGTATTGATGAGCAAGGTTTAGCAACCGAATAAAGAGATAATGTGGTTCAAGATTACTGACAGATACATCAAATTTTCTTTGCCAGAATTATACCTTGTCATCGTTCTAGAATCCATTGGAGATGATGACTGGAAGAAGTATGGAAAAAGATCTTCAAATATCAGCAACGCATACTAGCAATTTAGGATTTTAAAAAATGCTGATGTGAAAGATGTTTTAATCGGCGTGGACGGTGCACCTGACTATGATGCCGTGAAAATAGGCATTTTATACCTGTTTGCATCTTACTTGTATGTAACTCATAAAAGAAAATGGTTAATAAATCTATTTTTGGTCTTGTTGAAAATTTCAATGTAATGGAGATGACTTCATGGAGAAAAGAAGATGTTCAAGACCACACTATCATCAATTAGGAAAGGACTGAAATAGGGCTGGTCACTACCATATGCAATGTTTTTTGATTACATTTCGAGTAGTACGAGTCAGTTCTGAGTCTGAATGGAACATTTGCACAAGAATTCATCGATGGTGGCCCTGCATCATGAACTGGACTGGCAGAGAAGCATCCATCAGTAGCCATGCTGGAGGAGGGAGTATTTTTCAAACCTGATGTAAACATTTTAAATACGTGACTATTGTTAATTCTTATATTTGTTGAGTTTCAAATTCTCTTGACATTAATTTTTTTTTTTTTTTTTTTCCCTTGTAGATTGAAGTTAAGGGTATTGATCCTCTGGGTATTGAGTTGGTGATGGGATATGACTGGGGTTACTTATATGTCCCCTCAATAACCATATTTGATCAAGTATGTTGATTTTGAAGAACACCCGTGCAAAGTCTCAACACGAATTCTAACTCCTCATTAAGTAGCACTGTATGAATCTTTTATTTTTTATTTTACCGATGCATTTACCTTTTTTACTAATTGCAAGAGGATGTTCTGAACTACTAATTTGTATTCTATGTAAATGTTGTAGCACCTGGATATATGCTTTTATTACATCCATCAATTGGCAAGATTCGAGGATAATGCTCAAATGCATTTTTGAGTCTAGGTATGTTTATTCCAAGTTTCTTAAAGATCCATCTATTTTTTATTATAAAAGGGCAAACATGACTTCCTGACCAACAAAATGGGTAAATACTGATATATGCTAGTCAATTTCATTTGCAATGCCAGATGGCGAAGGGGGATGGTGAATTAGCCTTTAACAAAAGCTTTTCTCCATGAATTTCACAAACTCGTTAAAATCGATAAGTCCATCGCCATTTTCATCAAAAGCTCTAATCATCCTTCTGCATTCTTCCAATTCACACCCTTCCTTTAGGTCAAGGCTGCACTTAACTCTCTGCAGCTCATTAGCATCTATGAAACCATCTTTATTTACATCGAAAACATCGAAAGTTTCCATTACTTCTTGCAAACTTGGTTCTTCATCAAATAGTGCCGAAAACTTATCTAAACCAATATTCGTGTCTCCATCTTCTGCACACACTATATTCAGCCTATTCATCACCATATTAAGCTCTGTAATGTGAAAGTTTTCACTGTTTGAGGTCTCGGGAATTCTTGATTTTTTGTTTGATTGTTCACTGTTAAATGCTGTGGATTTCCTCCAAAAGTTCCATTTGGTGGATAATAACTCTGGAAGAGTTTGGAGAAAGAAATGGACTCTTGAAAAGAATTTCTCAATGTCCCAACAAAGAATTCTGTTTAGTAAAACGATCAAGGATGGAATGATGTTTGCTTGTGTCAACTCCATGTCGAAATAAATGACGCTTCTAATTTTTTTTGGGGGGTTGAGAACATAAGCTTATATGATTTCTCTTGTCATCACAACATGCTGGTGTTTGTATAGTATACCAAGGGATTAGGTTTACCTTGACATTGTCAGATTATTACATAAGAAATTTTGGGTTTGGTCTGTGTTTGTTTGTGAATCATGAGAATGGGAAGTTCAGGATTTTATGCCTCAAAATTTCCATGAAGTTTTAACGATGGGACACAGAGAAAAAAAAAAATTCTCTCTTTCAGAGGGTCTGTGTGAATGCGGATGGCCTGCTGAAACACGCATGTAAAAGGGAGTAAATTGTTATGGAACTTTCTTGGAAATATTATTTTATTGTTCAAAATGTTTACATGAAATTTCTCTGACTTTAATCCTACGTATGTTTCTGACTTAAATCCTACGTTTGTTTTGATTACATCAGGTCACCAACTTCCTTGACCTTCCGGCACTGGGCAGGCATCAGCCCCTATACATGGTCTTACGTGGTAACTTTCAAATTCAGAGAAACCCCAGAATTAATAAAAATGGGCAATCCTGAGCCAAATCCTGTTTTCCCAAACTAAAGCTTCGCTCTTTTATTCTGTACTAATTGCTATGGCTTAATGACATGTTTTGAGTAAGGAGAGGGTAAGATTAAGGATGTACATTCGGCGTGGCTCACATTTTGGAGGTCTAGTTGGCATGACTTAAAATTCTTGTTATGTTAGCTGACAGATAAATTTTTTAACGAAAATGATTCCTCCTCCAACTTTGTTGGGTTGACTCTTTAGTCTTTAACTTCTATGGAGTACTTTGGTGTTCGTCTAGCTTTGACGAACATTCTAGTCTTAGTGTTCGTGAATTCTTCAGGTGCAGACTTCGACTCTGCATGTGTCTACGAATTCATCAGACTCCGACTCTGCACGAGAGACATTTAGTTCAAAATGCAATCGTATTGAAGTGCTAGCACCGTTAACATCTACATACAATGTGTTAAGTTCCAACTTTATTATTGAGATTATGCTACTTGTACATAAAAATAGTACATAGGGAGTTACATAAAATGATGTGGAGGTAAAAAATTGAATGAAAATGTTGACTGTGTTTTCAAATGATAAATGATAAAGTGATATGTAACATTATGTAATCCATTATATAAAGTTTAATACATGTAGCAAGGTCATTATTATAGCATATAGTATCTATGATGGTAAACAAAATTGGTCACTGACCCACCAATCATTTTAATGAAAATTGTGCATAAGCTAGTCGAAATGTCACAATCCACTTTATATTTAACTAAAACGTGGGATAAATATAATAACATAAATTATAGTATATCGATATCTTGATGGGGGCATAAACGATACTTTAACCTTGATAATTTCTATTATTTATTTGTGTTATAGTCAAAATTAATTGACAAAATAAATCTTGGTCGGTTGTCTTATGCGAGCACTTTATCGTAAGTCTACAAGTCTTGCAGAAAATTGGATTTATAAACAAATTGTTAGTATAGTCGAGCATTTCAGCGTCGCCCCTTGAAATTTGTTTGTTTTTATTTTTTTTTTCAATGATTTTTTCAAATTTTAATTGATTTTAGGATAGGATTCGTGGAAGCAGGGACGGAGCTAGAAACATTGTTCAGTGCGGGCACAATTTAATTAATATCGAACTTTGAGTTTTTGGCTATGGATTTAATAATGACAAAAATATAAAATAATATTACGATAATACTAAAAATGATATAGTTTATAAATTATACTTCTTCCTTGCGAGTTTTCATACTTTGATATCATTGTACAATAACTTCAAGTTAACTAGATAGTAATGTCGATGCGCAGTAACAAATAAAAAGAATCCCTTTTTTGAACTCCCGTCACTCCTATTGAAAATTCTTCATAGAATAACACCATTTATTTACTTCATTTTATAAGTTGATTTAGCAGGAGGTCAATTTAGAATGATGTTACCTCTCTGGATTTGGGAATTGGGTTAGGTGAGTGACAATTTTTCTGTTTTAATTTTTTCTTTGGGCCGATGATTGGAAAGCCCAATAAACTAATACCCAAAAATAAAAAAATATGAAAGGGATTGGGTTGAGCCCAAAGATGCCTGCACTCAACTCTATTGGGCTCCGCCCCTGCGTGGAAGCATACATGTTCAGACCCAATTATGTATTTGTTTATTTAATTATTATTATTATTTTTTATGATGGAAAAATTCACAGCCGCTATCCTTCAAGTACGCATTGGATAAACCTTCAGGTTGGCGCAATAGCCTGCAAATCGCACCATTATGTATTTTGCCTCTTAACAAAGTAATTAAGAAGAAAAATGCTAAAGTTATCTGAAATTGAGTCCTCCAACTATCGGGAATTAGTGAATTGATCATTCAAGCAAACATGACTTCCTCACCAACAAAATGGGTAAGTACCGACATATACTAGTCAATTTCATATGCAATGCCAAATGGCTCAAGGGGATGGTGAATCAGCCTTTAACTAAAGATTTCCTCTATGAATTTCACAAACGCACTAAAATCGATGAGTCCATCGCCATTTTTATCAAAAGCTCTAATCATCCTTCTGCATTCTTCCAATTCACACCCTTCCTTTAAGTCAAGGCTGCACATAACTCTCTGCAACTCATTAGCATCTATGAAACCATCTTTATTTACATCGAAAACTTTGAAAGTTTCCATAACTTCTTGCAAACTTAGTTCTTCATCAAATAGCGCCGAAAACTCATCTAAACCAATATTCGTATCTCCATCTTCTGCACACGCTATATTCAGCCTATTCATCACCATATTCAGCTCTGTACTATGAAAGTTTTCGATGGTAGAGATCTCGGGAATTCTTGATTCTTTATTTGATTGTTCACTGTTAAATGCCGTGGATTTCCTCCAAAAGTTCCATTTGGTGGATAAAAACTCTGGAAGAGTTTGGAGAAAGAAATGGACACTTGAAAAGAATTTCTCAATGCCCCAACAAAGAATTCTATTTGGTAAAACGATCAAGGATGAAATGGTGTTTGCTCGTGTCAACTCCATGATGCTTCTTTTTTTTTTTTTTTTTTTTTTCTGGGGGTGGAGAACATAAGTTTATAGGATTTCTCTTATCTTACCTAAGGGATTAGGTTAACTTTGACAGTCAAAATTTCTATTTTTTATGTGTTATAGTCAAAATTAATTGACAAAATAAATCTTGGTGGGTTGTCTTATGCAAGCATATTCTTGGATTTATAAACAAATGGTCAGTACAGTCAAGCATTTCTGCGCGCCGCCTTGAAATTTGTTTGTTTATAATTTTTTAATATTCTTTTTCCATTTTTAATTGATTTTAGGACAGGATTCGTGGAAGCATGCCTGTTCGGACACCATTATTAAAAAGGTAACCCCAATTTTGAGGGTTCCACTGCTCCGCCTCTAGAGTTTTGTGAAGTAGGTAAATCGCAGGATGTGTCCAAAAGTAGGTCAGAGAATAAGAACTGTCTGTACATTATGCCTACAAGGAGTCCAATTCTATGTCTCAGGAATCGAACCCCCACACTGCGGCGGTCAGCAACGCGTGAGATAACTCCACTCCCATCCTTTATATCACTGGGCGATGCCCGGGGCTCCATTATTTATTTTACTATTTAAACAAAGTAATTAAGAAGAAAGATGCTAAAGTTATCTCAAATTGAGTCCTCCAACTATTGGGAATTAGTGAATTGGTCATTCAAGCAAAAATAATTCTCCAACTTTTGTGATTATTAAGTTGGTAATCCATCTATATACTACTACGAAATAGATCCTCAACCATTTAAATAAATATCAATTTGGTCATCAAACTTTTTTTTTTTTAGTCTCAAATTGAATCCTTTAAACTATGAGAAAATGATCAATTGGTTAACTGAATTGAGTCCTCCAACTATGATAAATGTTCAATTGGTCACCTAACTATTCACCACTGCAAAATCAGTTCACTAGCTTTTAGAAAATATTAATTTCATCATCAAACTTTTTACTAATTCCAAAATAGGTCTGCTAACTTTTAGAAATTTTGTTATCCAACTATCTATTATATTGATTAATGTCGAATAGAATCGTCCAACTATTAGGAATTAGTAATTTGGTCAATTAGGTATTCGTTAATACCAAATAGGTCCAAAAAAAAAAAAACATTAATCTGTTCATCAAACTTTTTACTAATTCCAACTAAGTCTGCCATCTTTCATAAAATATTAATTTGGTAATCCAACCATTTGTAATCTCTAACTCATTCAACTTTGAAGTAATAGAATATCACTCCACCAAATTTATAAAATATATTATTTTGATCATTCAACTATTCACTGATACCAAATTGGTCCACCAAATTTACAAAATATTAATTTGGACGCCAAACTATGTAGAATTGAGTCCTCCAACTATGAAAATTAGTAAATTGGTCATCCAACTATTTACTAATAACAAATCGTTCCTCTAACTTTTGAAAAATATTAATTCGGTCATCCAGCTATATGTAATCTTGAATTCAATCCTCCAACTATGAGGAATTATTAAATTGATCATCCAACTATTAACTTGAGTTACATCGATTACTTGTCATCATAGTCTAAATTCCGAGCAGTTCAACAATTACGTTGGAAAACCGCTTAAGATAAAAAATTCATCGGTCATTAATGAATATCGAGATCCAAAAATAGGATAAGAAATGCATAATAAAGAACATTTTTTTCTCTTTAATTAAGAAGTAATAACCAGATCAAAACAAATTGGAAGGGTAACAAGGAAAAGGCTAAAGTGATCTAAATCCTTAATTGTCAAAACAGTAACATTATATTACTCACTTTCTTAGTTCATTTCTACAGATGATGATAGTTTATTCAAAGTCACCAATTTAAACTTTCAAGAAAAACGTTCATTATATAGACTTGTTTCGTTTTTCACACGGACTAAGATATTTAATGTCATTGAAAAAATAATTTTTTCTAAAAACTTTTCTAATTTACCTTCATTTATATTTGTACAATTTCAAGATTAAGTGGGAGAAATTGAATATAACTAGACAAGTTAAGTAAGGTTACATTAGTAAACGAACAAAATCAAACATTTTGAATAAAGAAACAAGACTATATAATTGAGACAAAAAAGAAAAGAAAAAAAAAGGAAAGACGGCCTATATAAATGGGACGGAGGAGTAATGAACAAAAACATGCGCTTGACCCTGCAATTTTCTCCACACATCATCAGTGTATCAATTGAAGAATCGAACAATATAAATACTTATTTACTGAACATATTGAAGGGTGGAAGGATTAACCAATATGTTATAGCCTGCAGTCTATTCTGTATTATATGGAGAACCTACAAACAAAGAAAGATACAGCAGAGAAGCTCTCCTAAAATAAGTAACATGTAACTATACATTGCTAATTATCTGATTGCTGGAATATGATATCTGATTGCCTAATTGCTGGATTATGAATATTGACTGCTTACATTTTCTGGATTATGATATGTGATTGTGGATTATGATCTGTAATAGGTTGATCTGAAACTGATTACTTAACATCCCCCCCCCCCCCCCCCCCCCACAACCCCCCAAACCCCCTCCCCCCCAAGAAACGTCGCAAACCATAAGTTTGTTTTTCAAGAATTGAAATCAAGATGATCAGTCAAGCCTTTGGTAAAAATATGTGCTTGACATCTCTATTAAATTTTAATCACCTTCTCACAAATAAAATGGAAGTTGACCTCGATATGTTTTGAAGGCGTGGGAAACACGATTGCAACAAGTTTAATTGCATTGTGATTATCATACCAAACTGTAGAAGGAATGTTGGAAATGGTGGGTCGCCCATGTGAGTTGACCCTACCCAAGAAGAATAAAGTGGGTTGGAAGGATTAGTCATTCATTTTAAATTGTGAGTATCTTCTCTTCATCTGTCCAACATTATAACTTCCCAATGTTAATGTGTGGAAGTTTACATAAGATTTCACATTCTCACAAGAAATACGCATGAAATTCATATGCAAAAACGGTGAAAAATTAAAAAGTCAATAAATCGCATTTTTGGGGCATTCAATCAATTGGAAAAGACACTTCGCTGTGGCCAAGAAACTTCTTCAATTTGATAAAGTTTTAGACCAATGTGATCAAGCAAACTAAGGTAAGTGATTCAACATATTTAATCGTGGAAAATTTTCACTTCAAGTAAGTTTCTACGACCTTGACAAGTAGAAACATGCTTAGGTATGAATTTACAAGGAAAAAGAAGAGGCATGCGTAGGTCTTTAAGCAACATCCGAATCCAATACAATTCATCAACAACCATAGCTAATGCTCGATTTTGAGCTTCTGTGCTTTATAGAGAGACAACATTCTATTTTTATTACATACCAAGATATTAAACAAGACCTTGGAAAATTCCATACCCAGTAGTCAACCATTGATCAATAGGATCTCTAGCCCAGGTTGAATCGCATTAGGCGTGAAGACTTAATGACCTGTCATGTACAAACTAAGATCAATTGTACCTTTAAGATAGCGCAAAACACGCTTTGTAGACTTTCGGTGGATAGCAATAGGTGAATGGAGATGCTGGCATAACTTATTTACAGGATAGGCACTTTTTTGGAGGAGTTAAGAGTACTATATTAAAGAACAACAATCTGCCTGTAAGTTGTGGCATCTTGAACAGGTTCATCAATCACACCAGGAATTTTGCTGCCTGAAGCACAAGGTGCTTGATATAGTTTTTGACCTAACTTACTGCGCACGATGAAGAACATCAAGTATATATTTACTTGGTCGAAAATGTAACTGATGTGCATCACGAGATGCTTCAATTTCCAACACCTCAGATTGCGAAGAGCCTTGAAGGAAAATTCGATCTGAAGGTACACATTAAGCCTCGGCTTGGGCACATTTTGGTTTGAATCGGTTTCGACTCCAACCCGAAACCAAAATTAAATTGGTCGGTTTGGACGAATTTCAATCCAAACCAATCCACTTTACCTCTTAAACTGAACCAAGCCAAACTAAATTAGTTTGATTTGGTTAGGTTCGGTTCGGTTAGTCAGTTTAGACTTTTAATCCAAATTGATTTAAAAAAAGAAAAAAAAATTTGTCCGAGTTTTGGATCCACTTAGATTACAAAACTAAAAATAACCAAATAATTTTATATTACAAGAACTATTGACTAGCACATGATGAACTTGTGAAATGAAATTTTCATTGCTATTATTTACCGACAACATCATAAATGGAGGGAATTGAGATATAATTATGAGATTAGAACTTATCTTCTGATTTTTATTTTTCTTAAATTAAAAAAAAAAGGTAAACATGTAAGTGAATTGGGTTGGTTCGGTTAACTAAAGGTTTGAGACTTTAAACCATGATTGAACCAACCCATCATGGTTATGTTTAAAAGAAAACTAAACCAAATCAAATACCGATATTGAACCAACACAAGCCGACCCAAGTCGGTTCGATTTGATTGGTTTGATCGATTTTTCGATTTTTTTGCTCAAGCCTAATTAAGCCCTTGTTTGTCACCCATTATTTGGAAAATAAAGAGTTTTGAATAGTATTTTTAGGAGAATGTTTGGTTAAAAAGTTAAGAAACTTTATTAGTATGTGTGTAGAATATTTTATTGTGTAAATGTTTGGTGGAAAACGATAAAATAGCAAATAATTTAAAATTTTAAAGGGAGACAAACATGCACTAAGATTTTGAAGAAAAATGAGAATTTGACCCCATTGCGAATAAATCATCCACAGAGATGAGAACAAACATGAAATTTTTCATGGTGAAAACTAACAATAAAGTATAAACAGAGGATCCCACAAATCTAAGATTAAGTAAACTATTAGAGAGTTAGAGAAACCCTGCTTGTGTAACAGATTTAAGGCCATATAATGTTGAAAAAATTGGTTTTAATTAGTTGGTTTGACCAACGTTTGACCAATTAATTTAGTGGGTCTCGTTAATCGGAAATAAGATTTCTTTGGCCGAATGTGTTCTACTCCATGAGTAGATTAATATGGTATATTTATTTTCTCAAAACCAATTTAGGGTGAATGAGAAATTAAGGCAAAAAGATACACATTTGATGTTGAAATAAAATAGGTGGGAAATTGGAAAATACCAATCCCACATAGAAAAACTAGAAGAATATAAACCACCTTATATAGCTCAAGTTTGGGACTTGGGTTTGGGCCCCAAGGGGTACCAATAGTCTTTGAGGGAGAGAGAACCTACATGCTAGTAGGTTAAGCCAAAGCCCACACGCGCGTGCCGTCGCCGCCGTCCGTCCGACTGGCCGGCTCGGCACGGTCCAGTCACGGGTCGTGGGCTTGGGCCAAGCTGATATATATTTTTTGGTAAAATAACATTTAATTATATTTTTTTATTATAATAATAATAATAATATATTTTATGTTATTAATTTTTTTCCTTCCCCGAATTTTCTGTGTGTGACACGTGGTACGATACTTCTAGAATTTAGCCGGTTGACTGTCCAAAGTGGCGGTTGACTGTCTAAGTGACGGTTGACTGTTCAAAGTGGCGGTTGACTGTCCAAACAGTTTGTGTCTTTTGGACACAACTTTTCGGCAGTTGTGTCTGTT